CTATGCAAAAGTCCAGTTTCTGGCTCTACTCTTTATTAGGGAGATCACATTGAACACAACCATAATGCAACGATGGCCCCTAACTCGGGCAGCTGTGCACCTGCACCGTTTGCACTTCCCTAAGGTCACTCCTGACCCCAGGTGGGAAGTATTGGTCTGCCACTGTCATGCAGCTGTTAAAAGTCTCTGCCTCACCTCTCCTAAGATTTAGCGCTGAGATCGCTCCTGTGATCCAAAACATATTTCTGCGGAGAAGACATAGCCAACAGCTCCTTATACAGTGTCTACTGGAGAAGACAGGCCGGGGGTAGAAAGGTTTAGGGAAGTATGATTAGGAACACTTCTTTGCAGACATACCTGAGGCACACCTGCTCAGGAGGCTTTCTCGGACAGCGCCCAGGACCAGGTTTTGTGTGACGCCGAGAGGAGAACTCACCGGTGCGGTGGGTACCTCCGGGGTCAGCTCATCCAGCCACCTTGCTTCAGCAACACGGAGATGGGCTGCGACAGGCCTCTGTTCCCTGCCGGCGCCCGGCCTTCCTTCCAGACGTTATTTCTGTCCAGGGCAGGATGTACGCCCACACCTCGGACAGAAACAGTGACCCAAACAAAGCAGACGTGACGACTGACCGCTCTTACCTGCCCACGCCACCAGATCCCCTGGAAAGCATTACAGCCGGGCGCTGGCGATGACCTGGAGAGCTGGGCACCGGCGCAAGCCCCCCGGGGCAGAAGAGAAGGGGATCCTCTTCTTCCAGATGCCGTGTAAAGCCGATCGTGGCCGCGTTAAGGCCCTTGGGGGAGAGATGCAGGTTTCTGAGGCTCTGGAAAAAGGAGAATATTTTGCTCGTGAGTGGCCGGCCAGCGCGGGACTTGCTCAGGGTGTCGTTGTGGTGTTTGCAGACATCGCACCTACCGTCCGGCCCCTCGGCCCTGCTCTGCTAGTAGACCCCCATGGCCTCGCGGGCGTCGTGGCCACGCTGCCGCCTGGCTCTGCCCCGGGGGCAGCTCTCTGTACCCCAGGGTCAGACCAGGCCCTGCTGCATTGGCCCAGCCACAGCCCCCCAGGGAGGAGTGGAGGGGAAGCAGCCCCTTCTCAGGGGGCCCCAGCCCAGGCAGGAAAGCCACGCCCCTTCGTTTCCATAAACCCCACCCTTTGGCGCCCCATCACCTCATTTGCATAAACCTCACCTGCCCTCCAGCTGCATAAGCCCCGCCCTCGGGCCACTCCACCCTTTATTTGCATAAACCCCACCCACCCCCTCATTACTATAAACCCCCTCCTTTGGCTCCCACTCGCCTCATTGGCATAAACCCCACCCTTTTGCTCCCCCACCCCCATATTTGTGTCAACACCACGCCCCCTCATTTGCATAACCCTCCCCCCTTTGACTCCCCCATCCCCATAAATCCCACCCACCCCCTCATTAGCATAAAACCTCGCCCTTTGGCTCCCCCATCCCCTTACTTCCATAAACCCCACCCACCCAACCACTTATTAGCATACACCTCCGCCCTTTGGCTCC